CCAGCGCCCCACACTTACGGAATAAATTACGGCGACCCTAGCAACTTTGTTACTTAGGTCGGAATAAATTGAGACCCCGCCCTAAATGAAAAAAAATCACTGTGGTGGCAGTGGCGGTGGTGGTGGTGGTCAGTTTTCTGTGTCTGGGAGTTAGGGAGGAGGGGAAGTGGAGAGGTGGACACAGCGACATTACAACGCAAGATCGACCGATATATGATCGACTGTTTTCCGGTTGGTTACCGTTTTGTGGCGTCAAGTGATGTGCAAGCGTGTGCCCTCTTTGCCATTTTCTATGCATGATGCCGTACTGTATGTCGTACGTACTGTAGTACCAAGAGGAGACGCAATCGGCGCTGAACGACCAGACCGTCCGGCTGGAGGAGCTGCAGAGGATGCTGGAGGACGAGGTGAGGTGCCGTACAGTGCGGAAGCTGTCGTACATCGTCGTTGTACAACATGGCCTGTTGTTGCCGTGTGTGCTTGTGTCGTCCTGGGTAGCCCGACAGTTTCGCCGTGGGTCCGTCTCTCTCCCTCTCTTCCTCTCGTCATTTTTGTCATCAATATCACATTACCTTCGCCCCTTTGCATTTGGTTTGTTCGTCTCTTGCTTGGTGCTTGGTACGCCTATTTGATGCGCTGTTCCGTAACCTTTGGTGTACGATAAATGTACGGCTGTACGATTGTACTCGCAGATCGCTACGTTGGACGAGCATATCGAGTCCAAGGTCAAGGCAGTTGACGAGAAGCTGACGTCAGCGTTGGAGGTACGGGCGACGGCCGAAAGGGAGGACGCGGTAGTTCGTGAACGCAAAGTTGCGGATGACGCGGCGGCGGCGTTGGAAGCGCGCGTGAAGGCGGAAAGGGAGGCGGCGGAGCAGCGGGAAGCGCAAATTGCAGAGGCGGCGGCGGCGGCCCTGAATGCACGGGCAAACGCAGAGAGGGATGAGGCAGAGAAAAGGGAAGCGAAGATTGCAGAAGATGCAGCGGCGGCGTTGGAAGCGCGGGCGGCAGCGGAAAGGGTGGCGGCAGAACAGCGGGAAGCGGCCTTGGCAGCGGCGGCGGCAGCAGCCCTGGAAGAGCGGGCGGCGGCGGAGAGGGCGGCGGCGGAGCAGCGGGAAGCTAAGGTTGCAGAGGCGGCGGCGGCGGCGCTGGAGGCTCGGTCGGCAGCGGAGAGGGTAGCGGCGGAGCAGCGGGAAGCGAAGATTGCAGAAGATGCGGCAGCAGCCCTGGAAGAGCGGGCGACAGCGGAACGGGGAGATGCGTCGAAGCGTGAAGCCGCAATAGCAGACCAGATGACAGAGTTTAAGAAGGTAGGTAGGAAGGTAGGAAAGAAGGAAGGAATGGAGTCACGGCTTAGTAGGCAGAAAAGCCGGTTTTCTCTTGTGATCGGCAGGGTAGGCAGCTAGGATGGGACAGCCGCCACCGCCGCCGCCGCCGCTGCCGCCCCTGCTGCTGCTGCTGCCGCCGCCGCTGCCGTCGCCGCCGCTGCTCCGTCACCGCCGCGGCCCACTCCAGCCCGCATGAGCTCCCTTAGCCTCATACAGACATACATCGGCACACGATCACGCCGTGTGTCTGTGTGTGTGTGTGTGTCTGTGTGCCTCTGCGTGAAGCGTGCTTGTGTATTTCCTCCCATTACGCGTGTGAACTTGTGTTTATAAACCCCAATACTGCCCCATGTCGTCACCAGAATACGCCTCTTCGTACAGTCCAGTACTGTCGTATTTCACAGCTGTTTGATGCCGTACATCTACCGTACCATACCGCCCTCTCGTACTGCAGGAGACCAACGAGGCCATCAGCACCGCCTCCGCCGCGTCCTCTGCTGCACTTGCCGCCCTGGCCACGGAGCTTGCCACTAGGACGCAGGTGGGGATACGCGGAAGGAAGAGGGGGGAGGGGGGAAATACAGATGCGATGGCTGGGCCGGCGGCGATGTCGTAGTAATGGTGCGTCTGGTGCAGGCTGATTTTCTCGCGTTCGGTGCGGCTTCGTACGCGGTAAGGGGCAGGTTGTGCTATAGGGAATGTGAGTTGTGGTCTGTAGCTTTGGGGTATAATTTCATGGTGACGCATCATCACCACCAATACCGACATCACCGCCATTATCATCACAACTATTTCAGCCTGATTTGATTTCCTGATAGACGCTGTTTCCTGTACGGGCAGGCGTGGTGGTTGTGACTTCCCCGCGCATGTGTTTGTGTGTGTGTGTGGGTCGGTCGGTCGGTCTATGCGTGTGTGCCTTGTCAAGTGCCATATCCTCGGTCGGCTCAACTGCCTTCGTGCAGCTCCTCAACATTTCTTCTTCTCTACATCCTATTTCTTTTCCTTCATTTCCTTTTTTCTCAGACTTCTTTCCTCTTCTATCCTTCTTCTCCTCCTCCTCCTACTACTACTACAAGTACTATATTACTACTACTATTACTACTACTACAATTACTATATTACTATTACTACTATTACTACTACTACAATTACTACTTCTTCATATAATTCTTTTTTTCAGGACCTGGGCAAGGAGATCTCGAGCGTCAAGGAGGAGGCGGAAGGCGCTGCTGCCGAATTGGAGGCCAAGGTGGGCGAGGCGCTCAAAGACATGGAGGACGAGATGGACAACACACGCAAACGAATCGAGTCTGCATTTGTGGCGCTGGGCGCGGAAGTACGGCAGTGAGTCTCGGGTTTGAAGTGGGGCGGGATGAAGTGAGGGGGAAATGATTGGTCATGGTGGGGTTGGGCGAGTGGGTGAGAGTTAACGGTGTGGACGATTTCCCGATGGGTATATATGTCTCCGTCTGTCTCTGTCTCTGTCTATGTGTGTGTGTGTGCGTGTGTGGGGGAGAGTGTCCGTGTGTTCGGTGGGTTGGTCCTGCCCGCTGTAATGCGGGCCATTTCTTACGGCCCCGTGGTGGTCATTGTCCGTTGGCCGCCGCAGGAACTTAGAGTCCCAGAAAACGGAAGTCAAGGCCGCACTGGACGCTCAGCACGCCGACGTAGCGGCGGCATTGGACGCGCAGCAGCAGGATGTGCGGGAGACGGTGGCTGCGCAGAAGAAAGCGCTGGACGAGGCGATCACGGAGCAGAAGGAGGTGTTGGAGACGGTGACGAAGGAGCAGCGGGATGCGTTGGAGGCGGGGACACAGAAGATGCGGAAGGAGCTTGAAGAGTCCCTGGAGGTGAGGACGGGATGGAGGGGGGAGCAGTCGCCGCGATGGGGCCTCGGGCCTGGGTAGGAGGAAGGAGGGGGGAATTCGTCGGTTGAGGGGGTGGGCCGCGCTGCGCGACGTGCCTTTGTGTCGGTACACGTGCTTTGAAGAGAAAAAAGAAAACAGTCCTCAGTTTTATTATCAATATTTCTACGTTTCATTGAGCTTTACTCATTCAAGATTACCGAAATTGAAACACCGAGTAGGCCCAGACGAAGGCTGTGGAAACCGCGCGCTCCGAGATGATGGCCGCGCTGGCAACCACCAAGAACGAGATTGACGCAGCGCTGGAGGAGCAGCGGGCGGATGTCGATAAGGCGCGCGCGGAAATCCGGGATGCCCGTAGCGAGATGGATGCTGCGCGGCAGGAGCTGGGAGATACGGTGGCAATAACAAAGGACGAGTTCGAGCGGGCCATACAGGTGCTTTTTATTCTTTTGCTCCTTTTGCGTTTTTGTCTTGCAGTTTTCTACGCGTCGTTCATCATGCTTTTGTTGTCTTCCTGCGTTGACGCCATGCATGTTTCCAAACGGGCTTTTCGGTTTCTGGACAGTTGTAGTTTCACTGAAACTTTTCTCCTAAATTCAATTTTCCTGCTGCTCTTCCCATACACCTCATCTTCATCAAACTCATAAAATTTTAAAGCTCTCAACAACCCTGATCCCCTGCTTCCTTTAAAAAACGCGCCTTGCAGACGCAAAAATCCGACATGAAAACCGCCATCGAGGAGCTGGTGGTGGTAAGATCTGTTAGAAAAAAGGAGGGAGGGAAACTGTCGGCCGTGGGGAGGGCCAGTTGGGGCTTGCTGCTGTGGGCTTTTTGGGGATGTCCCGCAGGGAGATCGGGGCTCAGGGTATTGGCAACGGCTATTAAAAATGTTTTGGTGTCACCCACATTCTCCATAACGGCCCTCTCCTGGATTGGCACACGCTGCCGAGGCACCTACTAGTTACAACTACTGCAGATACTGCTGTTCGTGTCCCAAATCTGTTTCACCCACTTTTAAAATTTCGCCCTCGTCGCCTCCATCCATCCACCCATTCCCGTATACGGGTGCTCTTAATGCGGGCCGACATCGTTACATAAGTTTTCTTTTCGCGGATATACATCCGCGGATATACATTCCTCTGCAATTTACTTATTGTTGATATTTACATTTAATGCAATCCATTTTGGTATCCTTGCATAATTTGGTTATGTGCAGTTAAATCTCTAGAATCTTTTTGAAGCACACAACCAGGCAACCAGCCAACTAAAAATGTTCTAACCCTAAGTGACTCCCTCACACTTTTCCCTGCCAGCTTCTCCCCTCACAACCCACAACATGCAGCAGCCCCAGCTCCGGTCCAACCCAACCCATCCCCAACCCAATCCCAACTAAACCCAAACCATCATCCCCTCCCCTCCCCAAAACCCGCCCTCGTCCCCCACAGGCTATCGATCAGGAAAAGGCCTCCTTAGCTGACTTCCAAGCCAAGCAGAAAGCCGAACTCGAGGTGAGAAGTAACGCTCCGTCCCTGTCGTACATTCGGTCCTGATGCTGGAAGTATGCCGCTATCCATCCATCCATCCATCCACCCATCCATGGAGCATGTGCGGCTTAAATTTCCACTGTGTATCCCTAAGCCTCCTAATCCCTCCCACCCTCTTTCTCACTCCCCCCTTAATGCACAAACTTAGCACCCTCCGCCCCCCGAACACGTATTCTTTCCCGTCACACACCCGCAGGTGGTAATTTCGGAGCAGAAGGCCGAGTTGAAGGTGCGGGGGGATGGGATGGGGTAGGTTTGGGTGGGGTGGGGTGGCCGGCAGCTAATGAAAATAACACGCACCGAGTTTGTCTGTACGTGCAGATAGTACTAGTGTGCTTTTAAGGAACTGAACCCCGCGGGGTGTGTGTAGGCGGGAAATAAAGGCGAGACAAGATGGCTCGTACACAGTACGAGCAGATTCACCAAATGCAGTACTCCAGCAGTGTGAAGTGGAAGTGGTGGTGGAAATGGCGGTGGTTGTGGAAATACTGACAGCTCGTGAAAGTTGTTTGATGTTTGATGCAGAAAACGGGGAGCCATCAATGGATTGGCCAACGTTGTAGCCCGCCAAAGGGCCAATGGCGGCTCTGACCCAGTGACTGAGAGATCTGAAAAACTTCTCCCCCCTTCTCCGCCCCTCCCTTCCGCTCCCCTCTCTCCCCCCATCTGCGCACGGTGTGATGCGCGCATACATACACACACGCACACGCACACACACGCAGGGCATCATCAGCGAGGCTCAGGAGCAGATTGAGACATCCCGCCGAGAGGTGGCCTCCATGCACGCAGCCCAGCAGGCATCCGTCGTGGTGCAGCAGGCGGCACTGGCGGCTTCCGTTCAGAAGCAGCAGGAGGCGCTGGAGACGCACAAAGACGAGATCGAGGAGGCGTTTGAGGAGGCTATGGCGCAAATGCAGGTGCGCATGTGCATGCATGTGCATGCGTGGGTGCATGTGTTTTGGAGGGGGGTTAAGTGCGCGGGGCTGGGGCGGGAAAGGGAGGGGGAAAAGTTGAGCAGGGGGGAAAAGACGGGGTTCTGCGTCAAGAGGGGAGGGGAGAGATTGTTGGGGTCGGGGAGTCCGTTGCAACTCGACTCGACAGCTCGGAGAGGGGAAAAAACCCCGAAGATGCGGGGCGCGAAGCACTCTGACCCCAAAGGTGCTTCGCCTTCTTTGCGCGATCATTCATAGTCTCAAATCATATCACGGGGGTTGGTGAAGCAAAAGTTTGTTCAAAGAGCTTTTTGCTCCTTCATTTGTGGAAAATCCGCAACTCCTGCCTCGCGTCTTCTCGTCACTTCGCATCCCCGCTTGCTATTGCACCTGCTATTGCAGGAGGATGTCGCGGCCCGTATCGAAAAAGAGTTGGCCGAGCATAAGGCCGTACAGGAGCTCCGTACGGAATTACGGCAGCGGTTGGTTGAGGTGGACAGCATGGTGGCTGCGGACCGCAAAGAGGCTGAGAGGCGGATGGGGGCCATTGAGGCGAGCTTAGAGGACGTCAAGTCGGGCGATGAGCAGGCGCGGGAGGAGGTGAGTTTGGGGGGTTGTGTTGCTGTGCGGCGTGAGTGAGTGAGTGAGTGAGTGAGTGAGTGAGTGAGTGAGTGAGTGAGTGAGTGAGTGAGTGAGCGAGTGAGTGAGTGAGTGAGTGAACGCGCGGAACAGAGAATGGGGATTGGGGCACCTGAAAATGAATTGCGTTTCCTCATGCCACTCTGCTGGTGGCCACATCGTCCCTGCCCCCTCCACCCCGTCTGCTCCTTTCCTTTTTTCATCCCTTCTGCGTTATCTATGAGGATTGGGGAACGCATACGACACGGCCACGCTCTCTTTTACTTCGGGTTTACACGTTAAAGCTTTGGGTGGGACAAGGCTCGCCTTTACTGGTCCAATTCTTTTAGAGCCTCCGCGGGCACGTAATGCAGTGTTTTTGTGTTTTTTTTTTTGCATTCCATTTCAGTTAAAACGGCAGGTTGAAGAGCACAACAAACTGCTGGAGAAGCACGTTCGGGAGCTGGAAGAGCATGCTAAAGCTCTAGACGAGCATGTACGAGCATTGGACGAGCAGGCCGACGCGTTGGACGAGCACGACAAGGCGGCTGAAGCAGCAACCAAGGCTCGGGAGGAGGTGGATAAGCAGTTGGCCGAGACGAAAGGGCGGTTGGACGAGATTGGAAAGCGGTTGGAGAGCGATCTGGTCGAGAAGCAGTTGGCCGAGTTACGGGGACGGTTGGACGAGATTGGAAAGCGGTTGGAGAGCGATCTGGCAGAGAAGCAGTTGGCCGAGTTACGAGGACGGTTGGACGAGATTGGAAAGCGGTTGGACGGCGACCAGGTGGGCCCTGGACAACGATGCTTTAGTTTGGTGTATGTGTGTACGTGTGTGTATATGTGTGTGTGCGTGCGTGTGTGTATGTGTCATGGCGGGGATTGAGGTGGCGGTGGAGGGAGGTGGTGCCCCAGTCGCTTGGTGTTCCTCTTTTCCTCTTCCTCCTCTTCCTTTGTTCCCGGCCCACACACACTTCCCACTTCTCAACCCCCATTGGATTGGACCAGTCTTTCTCAGTCTGTCAATTGCTCCGGAACCTCCTCCTTTACCTTAGGGTGCCGTACCTCCCGGACTTCCCCGACATTCCTAACCCCCAGACGGAGGTCCTCAAGCGGGACGTGGAGAGCCTCCGCGGTGATGTACGGACGTTCCGACGTGACGTGGACGCCGTCAAGGGTGACGTGGACACCGTACGCGATCGGTTGGACGATCTGTACGACAGGGTGGACACTCATAGTGGGCAAGTGGACGACATGCTGGCCAAGCAGGAGGCCCTGCTCAAAGAGGTGTGTTTCGGGGTTGCGTGTGTGTGTGCGTGTGCGTGTGTGTGTGTGTGTTTTTGTCTGTATGCTTCTGTGTCTTAGCTTGGGTACGTGTGTGTATAGGAGCGGTTGGGGGCAAATCCTACGTTGCAAGCGGCACCCCCGCAATCCGAACAACAGTCAGCTGAGGACACGTCCCAAGTCCCAAACTGCTGCGCCGGAGTCCGAAACGATGGGGAGGCGGTAATTAGCCCGGTAATGTTTTAGCCCGGGAAGTTCCCCGGGCGCCGTCGAAGTAACACCGACCTTTCTCGTCGTATCGCACAGCACGTGTTCGTGTTGTTCGTGTTCGTCGTGTTCGTCGTCGTCGTGTTCGTCGTGTTCGTCGTCGTCCTCATCTGTTGATGCGAGATTGACACGCCCTCCCGGCGCCACCACTATCGGACACCTTGTCGTGTTACCTTGACAAGCTGTGTGTTTCGCTGCTCCGGAGTTGCGCGGCTATAGCTCATCTCAAGGTGATAAAGACAGGGATAAGGAAATTTTTTTATACCTTAATATATTGATGATTGTA